CGCCTGAGCACAGCAATTCTGATGCATCAAAAGAAGGTAAATTGATTTTACTGTGAGATGCGTCGTCCGAGGGAGGTTGGCGTTTCCACGGCAACCGCAGCTTGGGTTCTGTCGGGCAGCGCTTCTCTGCCACCGGTCCGCCCCTCGGGAAAGTTCAGTCAGCTCGGGCCGCAGCAGAGGGGTTGATCTGCTCACGAGTCGGAAAGGAGGGATTTCAGGAGGTGATCTTAGGAGGTGATCTTAGGAGGTGATCGGCAAAAGAGCGTCCTCTCAGCCGATTCGTCCAAGGAAGGGGAGAACGAAACTCTGCGGTCAGCTTCAAAGGCTTTCTGTCTCCCAGTCAGCGCGGCTGCTATGCACGATGGAACGCTGCGATCCGTGACTTTCGACGCAGGAAAACGAAAGCTACTTCCAGTCAGCTTTCTTCTGATATTTCACGTGAAATGGGCCTCTCCTGACGGGCTGCAAACCCATGGAAAAAGAGGAAGATTCTTTTCGCGCTGCGCTTTTTAACCCATGAATGACGTGCGGGCACTTCCTGTCTGCGCATCGGCTGATTGGTCCGTGCTGTGAGTAACGTGGGGGTAATTCCATTGTGGACAAGAACAAAGGGGGTAGTTCAGGTGGCAACGGAGATGGTTCAGCCCACTGATTTAGTTCCATGTTGGTAATATATCTCAACATATATATATGTATAAAGAAATAATTAAAAAAGAAACATTTTGATACAAAAACATACAATGAAAACTACTATTGGGGCAGGAGGTGCAGCATTTTATGCAGCCTACATGCTTATCATGAGGTTGCCATCAACCAGAATGCCATAACATTCTGCTAAATCTCCTTTTAAAACAAACAAATACAAAATATGGTTAAAAAAAAGAAGCAAAATCCAAAGTAAAGCATCTGTTTTAAAACATATGACTGTGGTAGGATTGACATGAAGATTATGAAAAGAGTATTGAATATATTATCATTTATTTATATTTATAATTTGTGAAATTTTCTGAGAAAAAGGAAATTAGCTGAAGTAATCCCTATGTTTAAAAATATTGAGAGAATTTGTTTTGAGAGAAAAAAAATAAAAAATAAATAAAAATATTGAGAGACATAGTGTTGACAATTGCTCCCCCAGTTTTCCAAAGTGCTTGAGAATGTTTTGTTCAGAAATAAATTACTATATAAAAAAATATTAACTTGTTGAGTTAGAGTCAGTATGGGTTTGGACAAAATAGATCAGCATCCATTATTGGAATTAAATAAAGTAATTAGAGCAGCAATATACAGTGGGGATGTTTACTTATTTAAGAATAGCATTTGATACCATTAACTTCATGTTATTTGTCAGGACTCAGAACAGAGCACCCAATATCTATACAAGCAGATCAGAATAGGAACAGGCAGGCTCAGAGGTCCAGGAGTCCAAAGCCAGGTCAGGCAAACAGATCAGAACAGAAACGGGCTGGCTCAGAGGTTAAGAGCCAGACCAGGAAATCAGAAACACTAAGATACCCTAAAAACACTCTCACCATAGGCTCGAGAGAAAAAATATAGCCCTGAATACTAGGAGCAAGCAGGATAAAAAAAATTAAAAAAATCTAGGAGCAAGCAGCTTAAATAGAGGCCGGAACAGGTGGCTCAGATGAGAGGTAATGAGAAACCATGCAGAATTGGACAGCAAGTTAACAGCGTCAGGATCATAACAGTTATTATTTTCTAAATTACAGTATTATGGAATAAAAAGGACGGTTGATACCTGTGAGAGTAGTTATTTTACTAAATGTAAAAAATTTGTACTGCAAATAAAGTGTGTAATCCCTGAAGGTTTCATTTATTAAATGCGTTATTTTTTTTAGAAATATTTTTCATTTGACCCAGTCGAATTCGGGATATTGCTTTGGTTAGTGTGACAGTAGGACAAAAGTGAAAACTGAGGATCTGAAAACTGTGGGAATTATCTGTCTGGTCCATTGCATAGGCTTCAAATGGTATGATTAAAAAAAGCAATTTTCCCCCTAAATCATCAAAATAAAAATATCACCAAGGATGTGGGATTTCGGGGTTAAAGTGCACTGCTCTGATGGATGTCAATTCCTGCTTGGTTCCTCATGACTCAATCAACTCCTCCCAACAGAAACACGTCCACCATAGAAAGATTCCTGTATTGTGTTTCTATAATTTAATCAATACAACAAAACTTAAACCGCGCGGTGAAGCGACGCACTGTGAATTCCACGCAGTGAGAATGTTCACTGCTTGTTGCTCACCTCATACTACTATGTGACATTTGCTCCAAGATAAACATTTAATCATGAATGTTTATTATATATTTAAGCCCACGTACTCCTTTTTTTATAGTGGTTTAATATACTTAGAGCTCATGTTGCCATACGAGGCGTATATAAGACTTACATTTGTTTCAGCCCCAGACAGGTTTTTTTTTTTTTTTTTGGTCGAATATGGCTCTTTGAGCAGTTTAGGTTGCCAACCCCTGCATTTGGTCCAGCAACCGTTGATCGTGTTATAGCTGATGCAAATCTGTGAGAAATTTGTTCAAATTTAAACATCCTAGTGCTAAGGGAGAGTTTTGTCTTTGAGTGTCCTATGTGAGAAGGGTAGTGATCCTTGGAGAAACTGGAGCTGGTTGCAATATATAAAATGTTAAATATGGAGGATATCCGTTCAATGTCTGTCATGGTTACAGCCTTGTCCAAGTCCATGCCAAGACAAGAGAGAATCCCTTAGTCTGACAAAAATCACTCCGATTTATACACCTGTCTTCTTTGATACAGAAAAACTGAAGCAAAACTCCAAACAACAGGTTCCACCTCATAGTTTACCCCTTTTTGTGGCATTGTAACCTTA